GAGTGGTCACCGTCCTGCGTGGTAGAGTGGTCACTGTGCTGCGTGATGGCCACCGTCACTGGGGTGGATGATCACCGTCACTGAGGTTGGTTGGTTGGTGGGTGGCACTGTGACTGGGGTGGCGGTCGCTTTCATTGGGGGTGAGTGTGCACCATCACGAGAGTAAGTGACCACCGTCACTGAACCTGTGCGACTCTCTCTGTGGAAGGGATTATGTCAACAGAGTGAGTGATTGCCTTCACTCGGGTGGGTAACCAGCATCAGTGCGGTGGATGACTGTTTTGGGTTGACTAACAGATTGTTCGTTTCTCATTTGTCGTTAAAATATGACTGGCTAACCTTCCGACCGATATCCTGTCTTTTCCGGCACATGTGCCATTTCTCGCGGTCTGGGCCATTAGGTTATCCTTCATCATCATCCTAAGATGATCTCAACTTGGGAATCGGCCGGACACCTATTTAAATTGTTTTTCCATCCCTAGAGTCGCCAATATTCCTAACCTCCATGGTGGGAAATTCATGGCCACATATGTTTCGTGTAACAGACAACTTCTACAACTCCTAAAACTCCTTACACTTTCAAATACTTTTAAGCTCGGAGTACAAACTCGTAAAATATGCGCGCCCGAGGTCCCGGTGATGGAAGTATCGCTTTGCATGGTATCGGCCAGAAAGCAAACATGAGAGAGACCGAGAACAACTGACGTGTTTTATGCGGTGCATTGACGCCCACTGCCCGCGCGCATTAGCCCAATGGCCTCTGACACGTGGTTGCATGAGGGCGCGGAACCTTTGGTGGGTGACAACCGCGTCATTCGCAGTGCATGCATGCGTATAACCATGCGAATAGGCTCCAGACGTGCTAAGTACAGCGATTTGTCAGGCTGTGTCAACTCAGCACGCACATATTCATGAGGGAAGTTGGGTGAATTATACCGACTTCCGCGAACTCAAGTGCGAGTAGAGGCGACTTTCTGTGGACCGTCATGCATACGCGAGTTTCGCTGATCTCGTTACACCGGTTTCATGTGTCATATCTCAGTAAGACACCATATTAACATATGGTGCAAGGACGCAGCGGGTGTGGTGTGATGAAACACGGACGAGCTCCGTACCCGGACCCGGGCGCGTGAGTCCCGGAGGACCAGGGGAGGGGATCGACCTGTCTCGTGTCGCCGTTTCTCAGAAAGCGACAACGGCGGGCGGCCCCGTGGCCGGCGGTGCCGCACGGTACACGTTGTAACGCAGCCGTCGCTCGCCCGGCTGGTGTGCTCTGGAAACGAGGATGATCCGCTAATAGGGTCCCCATTGCGTGAAACCCGCACAGGCTTTGGGCGTTTTAGTGGGAAAATTGCCTTGGTGTGGCCATGGTGCCCGCTGCACGTGCTAAGGTGCCGGAGATCTGAGGCTCATCAAAGTTGTGGCAGTGTTTTAGTGTGGCCGGTCCGTTCGTCCGCTATAGCTCCAGAGCCTCGCGATGGGTCTTTGTTTTAAGTTGCGCGAAGTTTGGCGGAATGCTGTGGGATGTTTCCAGTGCCTCCGGCCTCCAGGTCTTTTCATTTTCAAATGAATAACCAGATAGGCATCCGGGGAATAATGCATACGTTTTCTCACCAGGCTTCTTGATCAATCACTCGCCAAAACTGCATGGGAGCGATATAAGGCCGCCAAAGCGGACTTAAGTAATAAGAATTTGGTCCGCTTTACTAACATTATCGTGGACCAAACTAAGTTTATTGCGTCGTAGCAAAGCTATATTAAAGGAGTAACGCAGCGTATCGAGGGGATAGCACTCAGTAATTCAACCTTTCAGCTGGACAAAGAAGTGCTAATGTCGCCCGACCTCGGGATGCTTGTTGTGAGCTTAGGAAAACATCAGATTGTCTATTTTCCTTCATCTGCAGCGTCGCCCGCGGTTCGATGGCTCCCAGCTTTGAGCCGGGGGAATGGGATAGTATTGGCGCTGGCGTGTTGTTGACTGGCTGCCGGTCCGAACATCACCCTGACGGCCTCCGGGTGAGCCGCGCTTATTGCTGTGTGAATTGAGCGCAGCCGGCAGGAGTCGGCCATCGAGCGGGCTGTCCAACGTCACGCCCCCGATGTGTCGAGGTCTGCGAAGGACGTGGTTTGGCCGGGTGGAGCGATACCGGCCTGCGTGAGGCTAGACTGGAGACGAATGGCGCATTACGGAAAGAACAAGGGCAAGAAAACCACTTTCAGACGCGCCGATAATAGGTATAGTTGCCTTTTTGTATGGTATTTCAAGTCGTATACATGTAGCTTTAAATACAACCCCTCGAAGAGTGGACTTTCTATTTAAGCGGACCAGCTGACACACAGTTGCCCGCCGCGCCGCCAGGTGTCGGCGTCGCTGGAGGCCACCCGCCGGGTGATCGAGCGCGTGGGCGCGGTGCAGAACACGATCTTCGGCGACGTTGGCAGTTCAGCGCCGACGGCGCCCACGCCGACACGGCCTACACGCAGCAGGCGCTGAGCGTGCACACGGACGGCACCTACTACACCGAGCCGCCCGGGTACGTCCCGCGCGGCCGTCCGCGGGTGGCATGATGAGCTGTCCGGAGGTGGCACGATATCCGTCCGAGGGCGGCACGATATCCGTCCGTGGGTGGCATGATGAGCTGACGGGGGCGGCATGATATCAGTCTGGGGGTGGTATGATATCCGTCCGGGGGTGGCATGATGAACTGACCGGGGGTGGCATGATGAGCTGTCCGGGGATGGCGTTATATCCGTCCGGGGGTGGCATGATGATATCCGTCGGGGGTGGCATGATGAGCTGTCCGGGGGTGGCATGATATCCGTCCGGGGGTGGCATGATGAGCTGTCCGGGGATGGCGTTATATCCGTCCGGGGGTGGCATGATATCCGTCCGGGGGTGGCATGATATCCGTCCGGGATGGCATGATATCCGTCCCATGATATCCGTCCGGGGTGGCATGATATCCGTCCGGGGATGGCATAATATCCGCCCGGGGGTGGCATGATATCCGTCCGGGGGTGGCATGATATCCGTCCGCGGGTGGCATCATGAACTGTCCGGGAGACGGATGCCGTCCTGAGTAATTTGTCTCACCACTTCTCGCCTGAGCTCGGTTTACGTGGCGCCGGAGCGCCATGGCGTGTCACGTGACGTCGTGACGCGCCCAGCCAGGGTTCCTTTGGCACCTGGACAAGTCCTGCGACACGCCCAGCTTCCCGAGCATATCTTGTGCCATTCTGAGTCGTCTCGGCCTGTCTTTCGTGACCCTAAGTCGTCTGAGTTTGTCTGTTGTCGTGCCGAGGCGGTTTGAGTGCGGCATAGACATCCTAATGGGCCCATGCCGAGCCTGGTGAGCGCCTGGGTATGCCGTGCCTAGCTGAGCCGGTACGTGGCGCTGAATGAGCGAAACGTCCAGCCTGTCCGGCCCGCTTTTCTGACACGTTTTACTTATTCACCGCCTCGTCCTGGATCCTCGCACTGCCCCGTTACATCGGGACATGCGGCGGGCGAGCCGCGGGCTGCCGTTACAGTCGCTCTAGTGCGGGAGCCCCGCAAGACGACCCGCGTGAGCCACAGGGGCGGGGTTCTGTGCGGGGTGAGGCGTGTTGGAGAGGGCCTCTCGGATGGTCGCAGTCTTGCCCCACTGCTCACCAGTCTCTTTAAACCCGCAGCCGTGAAGAGGTCATTACTGTACTCTGCAATGAAAGTCGGCTCTACTGCGAACCGAACCCCGGCTTGCCTGCCTCGCGAAGTTGTCCAGCTCGTATGCTGGCGCCCACTAACGAAAACAGAAAATGTGCTAATGTGTGTCGGTCACGTATGAGATCAGGGTGCCCCGCACGTTTGTGTTCCCCTTCAGTGGTTTCGACCAGCGGTTTTGTTCACCCATCGGTGATAACTATATTCGTCACCTCGGCGAAGCAATGCCATGCTGATGCGACACCGAACCTCGGGCTCGCTGGAGCCCAGCCTACATTCAGGAACTGTGGGCGGCGACTGGCCACAATGGGCTCTAGGCGGTGACAAACTTTGTAAATTTGTTGTTCATGGCATGCAATATATATGCCTTAATGTCGGCCAATCCCACGATATTACGCCCAGCACCCATAACCGCGAAGTGTTGTCTAATTTGAATATAAGCCGCAGGAGGCCGCGTTAGAGCTTATGCTGTTCATAGTGTCATTAACAATGACAAATCATTCCCTAACTCGCCCGGTGAGCGGGGTCACCGCTGTCTGCCCATTTTATATATATATATATATATATATATATATATATATATATATATATATATATATATATATATATATATATGATCCGAAGTCAATACAGACCGCGAGGGCGTGGCATTAAACAAGCATGCTCGTGCGTTAGAATGACTTGAAGGCACCCACAGGTATGCTCGTGCAGTATAGCGACATGAAAGGAAGCGTTTTAACATATAAGTTTTGAGCTCCGGTCACAAAAGCTGACTTTCAGTGTACCAGGAAATACTGTAAAAACGACGTTACCTAGGAAACATTGTCCATATTGTTAGGCCTCGAAACTTTAAGCGGTGGTCATAATCGTGAGTGATCTTCACCACAGCTTGAAGCTTCGAGTTTTGACAACATAACTGATGCTTGCTTCGTAACATCGTTTAATCGACATCGGCTGGTGTGTTGAAGGTCCATTGGTAGCATAGGAACGCGAAACTCATAGTGCTGAAAGACCAGGAACTCTAGATCTTTCGTGGTTATATCAGGCTTCCAAAATTCCTTGTAACTGGTGCGAAGACAACCATACGTGGCACATCGAGTGGCTACTACAAACAAAGTATGGAGGCTAAGTCGGGTCACGTGTCGTTTCTGGTTTAAGCAGCGCAGGCATTTTAGTGAACTCCGCCGGCAAGGTGTTACATTGCATGGGTGCATGGTAAACGGATGAATTGCTACCAGTCATACGACAACGGATGCATGGTAAGTGAACCAATGGTGCAGAGATTCCACCGTTTTTATCTCCGCTCCGCTATTAAACTCCACTCCACGCTCTGATCGGTCCCTTTTTCTCCATTCGCTTCAAAACTGGCTGCAAGTATTCCGTCTGACCGCACACCATGCCTGCGCAGAGTGCAGGTGTTCCACTGCCTGCACCACGACGGCACCGGTGGCGAGACGACGCTGGTGGACGGCTTCGCCGGCCTGCAGCGGCTGCACGCCGCCGACCCGGCCGCCTACCAGCTGCTCTCGACCGAGCCGTGCGCCGGCGAGTACCGCGACCCGGGCCGCCGCGTCCACCTGGCCGGCGGGCGCGCCGTCATCGCGCACCGCGCCGGCGGCCAGCCGCGGCCCGAGCTGGCTCGCCGCCTCCGCTTCAACCCGTACGACCGGGCGCCGGCGCGCCACCTGCCGCCGGCGCGGCTCGAGCCCTTCTACCGGGCGTACCAGCGGCTGGCCGAGACGCTGCTCAGCCCGCGCCTGGAACGCCGGCTCCGCCTGACGCCCGGCACCGTGCTCTTCATCGACAACTGGCGCGTGCTGCACGGCCGGGCCGCCTTTACCGGGCGGCGCGTCATGTGCGGCGGCTACGTGGCGCGCAGTGACGTCATGAGCCGGGCCCGCGCCGCCGGCCTGCTGCTGTAGGAGCCGGTGACGTCATCGGTCGGTGTCGCAATGTGGTCCAGGAACGTCATGAGCTGCGTCGCGTCATTGGCAGGCTGCACGGTGACGTCAGGAGCCGTAGCGTCGTGAAGTGCAGCGTCATGGGAC